AGCATTCAAGAAGTAACCTGGCTGTTTCTAAAATTGTACTCCCATAAGCCTGAACAAAGAGATAATCTGAAACTGAAACTTATATTCAAAGGGAAGCAGAACATAAAATTTTGGAAAGTTTGCAGTCCAGCCAAGAGGTAGAAAAGAATAACACATTTCCTTGGAAGAAATTCAAGTCTGCTGCAGAAATTTGCATAAACAAAGAGGAGCCGAATGTTAATACCCAAGATAATGGGGAAAATGTCTCCAGGGCATGTCAGAGATCCTCACAACAGACCTTTCCATCATAGCCTCAGGGCTTGGTAGGAAAAAATGATTTTCAGGGCCAGGCCCAGGGCACAGCTCCTCTGTGCAGCTTTGGGATATGGTGCCCTGCGTCCTAACCTCTCCAGCCCCAGCGATGGCTAAAAGGGACCAAGGTACAGCTTCAGAGGGTGCAAGCCCCAAGCCTTGGAAGCTCCCACATGGTGCTGGACCTGCAGGTGGACAGAAAACAAGAGCTGAAGTTTAGAAATCTTTACCTAGACTTTGGAGGATGTATGGAAACACCTGGATGTCAAGGCAGAAGTTTGCTGCAGTGGTGGAGTCCTCATGGAGAACCCCTACTAGGGCAGTGTGGAGGGGAAATGTGGGGTTGGAGACCCCACACAAAGTCCCCACTGGGGCACTGCCTAGTGGAGCTGTGAGAAGAGGGCCACAATTTTTCATACCCTAGAATGGTAGATCTGACAGCTTGCACCATGGACCTGGAAAAGCCACAGGCACTCAATGCTAGCCCATGAAAGCAGCTAAAGGGACTGTAGAGCCACAGGGTTGGAGCTGCCCAAGGCCTTGGGAGCTCACCTCTGGCATCAGCATGCCCTGGATGTGAGACATAGAGTCAAAGGAGAATATTTTGGAGCTTTAAGATTTAATAACTTCCCTGCTGGGTTTTGAACTTGCACGGGGCCTGTGGGCCCTTCGTTTTGGCCAATTTCTCAGATTTAGAATTTAAGCATCTACCCAAATACCTGTACCCCCATTGTATCTTGGAAGTAACTAACTTGTTTTTGATTTTACAGTCTCATAGGTGGAAGGAACTTACCTTGTTTCAGATGAGACTTTGGACTATGGACTTTTGAAGTAATGCTGAAATGAGTTAAGACTGGGGAACTGTGGATAAGGGATAACTGTATTTTACCATGTGAGAAGGATATAAGATTTGGAAGGGGCCAGGTGTAGAATGATATGGTTAGGATTTGTGTCGCCACCCAAAATCTCATGTCAAATTGTAATTCCAAATGTTGGAGGAGGGACCTGGTGGAAGGTGATTGCATCATGGGGGAAGATATTCCCCTTGCTGTTTTCATGATAGTGAGTGAGTTCTCATGAAATCTAATGGTTTAAAAGTGTGTGGTACTTCCTCCTTCACTCTCTCTCTCTCTCTCTCTCTCTGTCCTATTGCCATGGGAAGAAGGTGTTTGCCTCCCCTTCTGCCATGATTTTAAGTTTCCTGAGGCCTCCCTGTCATGCTTCCTGTTAAGCCTGTGGAACTGGGAGTCAATTAAACCTCTTTTCTTCATAAATTACCCAGTCTCAGGAAGTTCTTTATATCAATGTGAGAACAAACTAATACAAGGTGTTAGCCTGAAACTGGAACACCATGACTTCTACTTATATTTCACTGGTCAAATCAAATCACATGGCCAGTTCCAACATCAGTAGGGCTACGAAACATACTCTATTTATTTTAGAGAAAGGTATTACAAAACCATATGGCAAAAGTTGCAAATATATAATTTGAATGAAAGGGGGACATAATTGTAAACAATGAATGAATCACTATGCCACAGCATATTCTCTTGATCATAATTGTTCCTGTACTTACCACATCAAAAATACAATTAGCCCCTCCCCAAGACATCAACCACAAGGATGGAGAGATGTGGATTAGACCTAAACCCAAACATAACCCAGAGTCAACCCTAACTCAGGTGACCTGCAGCCCAAAATAGTCACTTGGCTAAGCCAGCCTAAATCAGCAGATCTACAAGTGTGAAATAAGTGTTTGTTGTTATAAGACACTGAGTTTGTTACATTACCTAACTAATAAAATGCATTTTCTCGTATTTGTTTCTATAACCTTGACATGACTTTATCACTTCCTTAATTTTCTCAAATCCTTCCTATGTCTCAGATTGATCCAAATCTTCTTTCAGTGCCTGTTTCTTCATCTCATCTTCATTAATATATAGAGAGGAAATGCCACTCATTTTGTGCTTTCAACATTGATCCTCTATGTTTTTTTTTTGAAAACTTACTATTCACTCATCTTTCAACAAAGACTTTTGAACACCTACTGTGCGCCAGAAGCAATAACAGGAACTTTAAAAACAATAACGAAAAGAGAATCCATCCTCAAGGATTCTAGAGTTTAATAGGTATAAACAAGGAACAATTAAGAAGGGATATAAATGCTCTAATTTCCAAATTATTAATCTTAGCTCCTTAATTAAATCTGAAGCTAGGGTAAAGAGTTACAGGCAAAATTATTTTATTCTTTTTTAAAAATTTATTTTTTAATTTATGCATTATAGATGTACATAATTTCAGAGGACATGTGATAATTTAATTCATTCATATAATCTGTAAAAATCAAATGAACATACTTGTGATATCTACCACATTAAATATTTGTCTTTTCTTTATGCTAAAAACATTCAAATTTTTCTCTTCTAGCTATTTGAAAATGTACAATAGATTATTGAAAACTATGGTCACCCTATTGATCTATCTAACATTTAGGTCTTATTTCTTCTATCAAACTGTATATTTGTACCCATTAATAAACTTCTCTTCAAACACTCCTCCCCACTACCCTTCCCAGTCTCCCATTCTTTTTTGATCATTTCATAGTACCAAGCACAATGACTTGTCCAGAGTAAGTGTTCAATAAAGAGTTGATTTGTTTTGTTGTTAAATGACATCACAACCCAGTGGCCTTTGTGCTATGTCTAGCAACTGAGTATTTAGTCTATTGTTCCCAATAAACATTTGTATAGTGTGCCAAGCATTGTGCAAGGCTCAGATGTTCCTGGTTGTCAAGAAGAGCACAGTCTGGGTAAGACAGGTGTATAATTATGATAGCACTTACTGCACTATATTAAGATTCACGAGTGTACACTATGGGACCAAAGAAGGGTGGCCAACTCCATTTGGGGAAGCAACTTTACAACTTCATAATTATAATTGCAACTTTAAAACACATAGAAATTTTCCAGGCAGAAAAAAAGTGAGAAAGACTACTCCAGGTCACAGGAATATCATGTACAAAAGTACAGAGTCTTGAAAAAGCAGACGGGTTTGAAGATTAGCAAAGCATTAAGTATACATAGAATTTAGGCTGGTTAGGAGTTGGGTGATGAGAGATGAAGTTGCAGCTGAGGATCCTTGTATGAGGCCTAGAGGAGCCGATGAACTGAGATATTATTCTGAGGAGATCAAGAAATGAGTGGGAGTTTTTAAGCATGGGTGAACTGTAATTGGATATTTTATTTGAGGGTGACCATCTCATGACAGTGAGGAGATTAGAATAAGGAAAAATAATTTGATTATAGAAAGACCACTTAGGAAACAGTTGAAATGATTCAAGTCTAAAATGATAAAGGCCTGGCTATGATGGGCCTGGCTATGATGAGGGCTGGACTGGAAAGACGTTTTTGCAATAGAGTTCATAGGACCTGCTAAGTCAGTGGATAGAAAATGTAGAGGGGATGAAAATAAAGCAAGTCTGCACTTTGCCTAAGTTGGGAGCCCAATGGGAGCAGTGACCTAGAGTAGGAGAAAAGGCAGGTTCCATCTGCAAAGGACAGGGCTCTGAACTTGAGCCTTGTCTGTTCTACCCATTGCTCTGCAATCCTGAGTGAGATACTTCACTTTTCTGAAACACAGTTACACCATCCATAAAATGGAAAAATAATATCTACCTCATGGGATTGTTTTGAGATTAAATAAAAGTAAAAGATAAAACTGTCCAGCTTACTGCCTGGCCCATAGAAGCTGTTTGATAAATGTATTTTGAATAAAGCAAACAGAGAAATAGAATGAATAGCAGAGACTGGGGTTTAAATCTAGTTGGTTATATAATGTTGAGTGTGTTACCTAAATTCCTTGACATTCTGTTTCTTCATTTGTGAAATAGTGAAAATTTGAGCTGCCTCATTGGGTTGTTGGGAAGATTAAACCTGAAACCGTATGCAGAACCTGATGTACACTGACAGATCATAGGTACTCAATCAATGTGTATCGAACAAAAGTATGAACTAATTCAAATGAGCTTAGTAATCTTGTTTAAAGAAGCAGAAAAATATAGACCCCTTTAGTAAATATTACATACACTTGCATACACTCACTCATAAAAGAGGATGTTACATCTCTTTAAATGGTAAGTTTCCATTATTTGTAAAGTCAAGTTACTTTAGAAAAGGGTATTCTTCAATACTGTAAAAAAAAAAAAAAAAAAAAAAAAAAAAAAAAAAAAAGGCAAGCTTCACTAATCTAATTGTATTGCATGAAAAAAAAAAGTCAAGTACACAACGAAATCTTCCTGCAGAGTATAGGTGATCTGCATAACTTTTACCCCAAAGAAGTGGTAAACAGACTGAAAAAACTTGAGAACCATGATTTTTAAAGAACCCAAGTGTTACCAGCATTGACTGTCTAATTGTGTGTCTTTAATTTGTTGCTGATACTATTCCTGCTTGAATAAATGCATTGTATTTTGTATATTGTGGCTACTGTAGATACTGCTAGCTGCACCACACTCCTGTCTACGCTACTCTCTTTTAGTAATCGAGTCAATCTGTATCCACTCTCCATCATTCCCCCCACCTCCCCACTTTTAGGAACATGGCCTCCCAGCTACAGACTACATTTACCAGCATCCCTTGAAGCTAAGGATGTTCATGTGATGAGATTCTGGGCAATGAATGAGGAGTGGAATTTATATGTCACTTCCTTGAAGACACCTGCTCTGAACTCTTTCTCCAGCAGCGCTGAGGAGTGCGACATTCGGCAAATGGCAATGCGGCAGTAAGGAAGGAATCTGTGCCCTTTAATGACCTAGAAGAGTAGATCTACTTCGCCACCTGGACCAGCCAGACTAATGTGAGAAATACACTTCTGTCCATGTAAGCCAATACATTTGGGGGTTTCTTTGTAATAGCATCTCAACCTCTATTCATGGAATGCAAGGTTTTGTCTTATTTTTCAAGAAAAAAAAAAGTCATTTCAATGGTAAACTTTGCCTTTAGGACTTCTAGGACAGATGGATTTTTAAATGACACAGTCTGATGTGTCAGGCTGAAGTTCCCAAATACCCATTATCACACCAAGGTTATTACTAAGGGCCTTTCTATCATCTTTTATTTGATAATGGTATTTTGATTTTGAATGGGGAGATCTTATGTGCCAACTGGGTTGATTTTCATTATGATTGTTTTTTGTAATGAAGTAGCAGTTTTTCAATTTCTTTTACTAACCTTGCCAGTGAATGCTTGTTGAATAATACAAAGACTGTTCAAGTTGCCTTATCTCTGTTATTGGACTTGACCATAAATTAGATTTTTAAAAATGGAGGGTCTCAGAAGAGAATGTCTAAAAAATAAATGGTTCATCAATTTTTAATTTTGAAAAAACAGTATCAATTTTGTGCACCATATTTACCAATTTCCGTCTGAAAATTTGTTTTGACTAACAGGCAGAACTGGAAATAGAATTTTATTATATTGTTTTGCCACTCTTGGCAATTGGGAGAAAATAGGATTCAAGATTCTAGTTCTACATACCTTTTGTAATAGGGTACCCTGCATCAGTACTTTTATTGCTAGTGTAAGAGGAGCTATGAGATTGTTTAGATGTCAAAAATAAGGTCAATAAAAAGATATGTAACATAAAAGAATGAGAACACCAGATGATGGTGGAGTATAACATAATATAGACAGAACATATCGAAGTTACCATACATGGCCACTTACACAACTTATCTGAATCACAGATAGGACTGTCCTGGATCAACTGGCCTGGAAAATAACTACACTGCTAATATTTCAGTCACTACAATTCTCAGATTCAGAGAAGCCAAATCAGTTTCTTCCCCTGGCTTTCCCAGTAACCACTGACAGCTGCTGTGGTGGAAAGAACTCCTGGCTGTGACTCAGGAAACTTTATTGCTAGTCCTGGCTTTACCACTTACTAAGCATGAATTTGGACAGGTCATGTAACCTCTGTGTAGAATGATTATGAACTTTAGAATAAGATAATCTATGGGAAGTATTTTGGAAAATAATAAGATAATCTATGGGAAGTATTTAGGAACTAAAAAGTTTTATGCAAATATATGTGTGTGTGTGCATGCGCAAAATAACTCACATTGTAAATTCAAAGCCAACTATAAATTTATATTTGCTTATATATGAAAATATAGACATATGATATATATACACATACGAGCACAAATATACATATATATACACATATATATACATGACCACACATGTGTGTGTAAAAACACATTACCTAAATTAAAAACTTTTACTCCTTAGGATTTATGCCCTGGCTGCTTCTAAAATGACTCGAGGCAGCAGTTTATAGATTAACATGCTATGCAAAAGCACAATGAGAAGCTCTAAAACAAAACAGAGTCTATGTAGATGACATTTAAGGAGTAAGTACTTTTTAGTGGAGTCCTCCTGCTCTTTTTTGATGGCTAAAAACCAAGCATAAAGGGACTTCTACAGTGATAAAATAACAGTTAACTAATAACATATTTGTCTCCTGTGAATTTTCACCTTCCCCTTCCCAAATAAAAGCTAGAATCATAACAGTGACCTATGGTTTCACCCATATCCCATTCCTCTGTCTCTTGTTCCCCGGGTAATAAAGTTAATAGCCCAGTTCCACTAGAGTATTCAGGAAGTATGATCTGGGTGGTAAGTTCCCGTAGTGGAATAAAAGGCACATATTACGCTTGCACCCTAAAGTCAGTAGGATTGTTACAAGCAACATTTTATTGACTTTTTTTCTCAGTGATCATTAATCAAGAGATTAAGGAACAAGATGACAGTAATGAGAATAACCTGTCTTTCCTTTACTGAGGTCCCAATAATTTTCCCTCCTAAAAATAATTTTAAGCTAGTTACATTTTTAAAATACATGTAAGTAAATTAGGAATTAACTTCTTGGTGGGGTGGAGAGTAATACATATGCCTTTGATTCATTGGCTCAGACAATCGCATTCTATTCTGAAAACATCTCTCGGTTTCCTTTGCTCTTCATTGTAAAACAAACAAATGGAAAGCATTGCATTTTATGGCCTTAGTTCTCAACTTGAACACCAAATATATTAGACTATAGCTTTACTGGACAGTTTAGTATTGACAACGTATATTAATACGAAGATAACTCTCTATTTCAAATTAAAACTTGCAATCACTAGATTTACATTTGCACTAGCAAAGAATGGCATTTAAGAGATTTGCCTCTCCCGTATCTCTTTCTAAAATGATAATGTAAAATGTGTTAACAATCTCTGCACAGATAGCTTGGAAATAAAGAACAAGAGCTGATCACTGAATACCATTCGATACATTGTTCTAATGCTGTGGTTGTCCTCATCACTCAACCACAGCACCACTCCAGCGGCCCATGCATCTCCAGGCATTAGAAAATGCTCACAAGTGAGACAGGTCTTTCAGAAGCTGAAATTTATTCTTCTCCAGACCAACATTTCTGTTTTCTAAGCTTTACAAGAAAATGGTTTCTAGAGAAGACCGTATTTAATATTTGCCACCTTAGAACCATAATGTGCCTTTCTTCCAAGGGAAACCTCCAAAAGCAGTCTCTTGTTTAGTATTAGATAGTATACTCGCTAAATAGGCTGCGAAGAATGCCAGCCCTGTTTTACAAATGGAGGCCTAAGTGTCATGAGTCCCAGCCTCTCCCCATGCAGAAAGAGCAAGAGGAAGCAGTGGACTTGCACTCAAAGCCACACATTCCACTCATTTCTTAAATGTGCATTTGTGAGCTCACACATCAATAGCAGTCTTGTTAAGCATGTGGAAACAAATAGAATATACTGTGAACACTGGTGGTTGTGATAAGAATTTAACCTGTTTCATAAAGCAACTGCAATGGGACAAATTGTATGCAAGTAAAAACCATCTCATTGACGCCAGACTCACCTGACCCCTCTTGTCCTCTTGGAGTTGTAAATACCTTCCCAGATTGATGGAAATCTGCTAGAACAGACTATGGAGACAGAAGCCCCAAACTCTTAGTCTTTATATGCCCCTGTTCCTCTGTTCACACATCTCTTTTCACTCTGATTGGTTTGTGGCTCTCTCTCACTGCTCCTTGCCTTTGAAATCTTCTCTGGTCAGCAGTTCTCAGGGTTAATCTCTCCAACTTCCCCAGAGCTTCTACGCACATCCTGGGCATGTATGTGTATTTCCAGTGGCCCAAAGTGACAGTCTGTGGTAGATAGCTTCTTCCAACTCCTTTTCCTGGAGACTTGCTTCTCCTTTGCATGGCTTGTCTTGGCTCTTCTAACAGGCTAAGGGAGGTAATCTATTCTCTTTACCCACAAGTTATAAATCATAATGTGGTTCTGTTTTAGAGGGGTGGTCTGCATGACTGGCATATTAACTGCCAGAAAGAAATCTCAGGTTCCACATTTGAACCTCTACCTCATCTTTTAAGTGAAGTACTACCAAAAAAATATGATTTACATTATTGCCTTTTCTCTTTGTCACCTTCCTACCCATATTAGCAATATTTTCCATTCTGAATCAGATTTTTTTTCCTTTTTTCTTTTGTGTCTTGTATAGTTTCCTTTAACACAGTTCACACTACGGGTTGTTTTCTGAAAAAAAAAATTCTTTTATTCTTCATTTCCCACACCATATAGGTTCATATTACAGAATGACCTTATATGATTTCCAAGGAGTAATAACTAGAATAATTTTGTCATTTCCACTTCACTTCTTGAGTTCACAAATGAATGCTTAGGTCAGATTCTGTCATAAAAGGCAAAGGGAGTTTCCAAGTTCCTTTATTTGTGTGAAACTTGATTTATCCATTATTGGGTAAAAGCAAGAGAGGAGGTTAGGAAATCTTCAGCTATGCAGAGCTTGCTGTTATGCTGTTATAGGATTGTTGAAGTGGCAGATATCCAATATGCCGTTTTTGAATGTCATCATGATCATTTCTGATCACCAGGAAGTGATAGCATTATTACTTAACATGTAATTGAGTTTTATAGCCTTGGTCTATATACAGAGATGGCAAGAACATCTTCTTAAAATCATGTTTAATTGAGCTTAACAGATTTCTGCCTAACAGATAAATATCAGCTTTCCCTGAAGTTCTTCCTTTTCCTGAAATTCAATTAGTGATGAGATTTAACATTTTCAACAATAAATTCATAACATCCTAAGTCTAATCTGTTGAAATCTTGAAACAGACTAACTCATGCCTCCTTCCCAATTTCTCTGGATGGAGATGTAGTGAATGTCCTCTCAGAATTCTCAAACACTGAGTTATTTTTGAGTCAGAACATTTCCACTGGTTGCCCTTGGGTAGATATGCAGTATTATCACATTACCTTTGAAATCTCTCTAGACTGTGACCCACATTCTCAGTAAGGCAACTATATATGAACACCTTGTTCTCCATCAACTTTTTTTTTTTTTTAAATGACATCTCCCTTGAGTATCTGGTCACTTTGTAAGGTCTCCATCCATTGAGTTGAGTACATGTGATACATATGTCTGTAAATTGGATGGATATTTTCTTTGCTCAATTTAGAAGTACCAAGAACTTTATTAATATATCCCCATATATTTCAGTTGTAAAGTTCACAATATTGTCCTAGAGAATTACATTTATCAGTGTTTCTTGTATTTTTTTCTTCTTACTCTGCACCCCTGTTATACATACGTATATGTTTTATATTTTATAGTTACAAATATATTGTCTATCTATCTCTCTAACTCACAATTCAGGCTTTGATAAAAGAAATGCTTCACTTAAATACAAGATCTTGATATTCATCATTACTCTCTGTGGATACAGATCTTGGTGTGCTTGCTTTCTTTCTTTCCCTTCCCTCCCTCCCTCCCTCCTTTCTTTCTCTTTTTCTTTCTTTCTTTTCCTTCCTTCCTTCCTTCCTCCCTTTCTCTCTCTTTCTTTCTCTCTCTCTCTCTCCTTCCTTCCTTCCCTTCCTTCCTTCCTTCCTTCCTTCCTTCCTTCCTTCCTTCCTTCCTTCCTTCCTTCCTTCCTTCCTTCCTTCCTTCCTTCCTTCTCTCTCTCTCTCTCTCTCTCTCTCTCTCTCTTTCTCTCTTTCTCTCTTTCTTTCTTATGGAGTTTTACTCTTGTTGCCCAGGCTGGAGTGCAGTCGCGCTATCTTGGCTCACTGCAGCCTCAGCCTCCTGGGTTCAAGTGATTCTCCTGCCTCGGTCTCCCAAGTAGCTGAGATTACAGGCATGTGTCACCACCTCCGGCAAATTTTTTGTATCTGAAGTAGACTCGGGGTTTCGCCATGTTATCCAGGATGGTCTCGATCTGACCTCAGGTGATAAGCCCACCTCAGCCTCCCAAAATGCTGGCATTACAGGAGTGAGCCACCGCGCCCAGCTGTATCTTTCATAATAATATTTTTCACATGGGCTGTCTGAAAAAAATCTTAAGAAGTCATTGTCTCATTGTCTTGTCCTACCATCTCCAGATGCCCAAACCAGTATTCAGAAGCGGGTTTAGCTAACAAAGGCTTCAAATGTTTTGTCTACCCCAAGATACCTTCCTTTTAATCAAGAATGAAACTAAATACATTTCTAAATGGCAGGTTTCCAGATACCCTTGATGGGACTGGGGAAATTGGGGTAGAAATATTGCCAGTGCTTTGAAAGGGACACAATGAAAGAGGCAAGATAGCTTGCAACTTTAATGACTGAAATTATTCCAATTAATAATAGTACTTTCATATATTTTTTCTAATATTTACCCTATAAGGTGGGTATTGTTCACAAATAAAGAAGCTGAAGCTCCCAGTTATTATGTGACTTGTTCAGGGAGACAGGGCAGAGAAGTGGTCAAGCCAGGTCTGTCAATGCCCATGCCTACCCACCTGTTCCTGTACAAAGACCCTGTCAGAAGGTGTTGAGGAAAGGATAAGTGAGAGCTAAAAATATCCAAGTATCAGCTACAAGTAATTTGGGATTTTTATAGGAAAAAAAGTTTGGACCAGAAAATATATCTGGAGAACCTAAAAACTCCCCTCTCAACATTTTCCTAAAATCTGAAAAAAGTGAAATAGTACAACAGGAAGAGCAGGGAATTAAAGTCAGAAAGCACTGCATCAAAGTCTGCTACTGCCTCTTATTATACTTCCTTGTACCTTGAGTAAAAATACATAGTGTTTTGTATCCATGTTCTCCCATTGAGTAAAAGAATATAATGTCAACTCCATAGGGCTACTATGAGGACTGAATGACGTAATTTATATGAAAGTCTCAAGATAAGTGTCCTGTTTATAGTGTAAACTCAATAAATGGTCTCTACCTCTCCTTTAATCCATTGTTATAATTTATTTACAACATTTTATTTTATATTATCTTATTTTTTTGAGACAGGGTCTCACTCTGTCACTTAGGCTGGAGTGCGGTGGCATAATCACGGCACACTGTAGCCTCAAACTCCTGGGCTCAAGCCTTAGCCTTAGCCTCCCAAGTAGCTGGGACTACAGGCATGCACCACCATGCCCTGCTAATTAAAAAAAAAATTGTAGGCCAGGCACAGTGGCTCATGCCTGTAATCCCAGCACTTTGGGAGGTGGAGGCGGGCAGATCACGAGGTCAGGAGATTGAGACCATCTTGGCTAACACGGTGAAACCCCGTCTCTACTAAAAATACAAAAAATTAGCTGGGCATGGTGGCATGTGCCTGTAGTCCCAGCTACCCAGGAGGCTAAGGCAGGAGAATCGCTTGAACCTAGGAGGTGGAGGTTGCAGTGAGCCGAGATCGCACCACTGCACTCCAGCCTAAGCATCAGAGCAAGACTCTGTCTCCAAAAAAAAAAAAAAAAAACAAAAAAAAAACCAAAAAGCCAAAGACACATTTGTAGACATAGTGTCTCATTTTGCCACCCAGGCAGGTCTCAAACTCACGGCCTCAAGAGATACTCCTATTTCAGCCTCCCAAAGCACTGGGATTTGAGGTGTTAGCCTCCGCTCCTAGGCTGCAACCTTTAAATAGCTGCAAAGGAAGAGGCTTTTCAAGTCTGTAACTACATATACCTAAATGAGTGCTAGACAACAGCTGTACTACCTTGGTTAAGAGCATCAGTTCTAAGTCGTAGCTGCCAGTTCAGATCCTGGCTCCTCCCTTTACAAATTTTGTGATTGTGGCCCACTGGCTCAACACTACTGTGTGTCAATATCCTTAGGGAAAATACTGGCACTTAGGTAGTGAGATTTTCTGAGATTCAATCAAATTCATTAATAAAAGTAAAGTGCTTAGTACAGTAGCCAGAATTCAGTAAGCTCCATAAATGCTAGCTGTTATTACTAACCAAGCACATAATAGATTTAGAAGAATCATTCTCAATAGGGTTGATTTTGCTCCCAGAGGACATTGAGCAATACCTAGAGACATTTTTGGTTGTTGCAACTCAGTAGGAAGCTGCTCCTGGACTCTAGATTGTAGAGGTCAGGGATGCTGCTAAACATCCTAAAATATACAAGACAGCCTACTCCACAAGGAATAATTCAGTCCAAAATGTCAATAAAGCTGAGGCAGAGAAATACTGAGCTAGAAAAATCACCCTTAGTCAACAAAGATCTTGAGATGTTTTCTCCATAGAGCATTAGATACCACTAACCAAACATTGCTGGCAAACTAAATAACCCTATGAAACTGTACCCCATCCAATACCAAGTAAGCTAATGCTGGAGAAAGTCAAAATGATAATTGGATATATGGAAGTATAACACTCTAGTATGTCTTAGAGTTATTTAAAAATACTCCTTTGAAAGAGTAATCTTTATTTCTAATTAGAATCACTTTTCTAAAGTTTATTGAATAGAATTCTGAGAGTGATGAGCAAGGATATAAAAAAGCTTTAGAGACTACAGGTCCTATCAAAATTAATGCTTGCAAATTCATCTAGATTTCTTCTCCCACAGGACCCAGCAAGAAAAAATGGTGTGCTTATAATGGATACTGGGTAGGAGAAAAAGTGGCCATGACTTTTCATGCTTCTTTATATTTTCATCCTCCTCAACCTAGCCTGGATAATTTTTGAGTGGTGGGATTATTTAAAGAAAGGTAAATGAGAAGGTCTCAAAGTATCTTTTTCCTTGCAGTCCTGATCTCTTAAATTTAGCCAGAGCTCTAGCTGAGAGGATCCCTTATCCATCCTTTCTATGAGCTTCTCTGTATCTCCTCCAGCTTGTGTTGAAGAGAGTATATTCTCCACTTGAACCAAAACCTACTAAGATCAACAGAAACACTTTCTTCATTAAAAAATAGCCTCTGAAGTCTGAAGTTCCATAAGGAACACATCATTGGCCCTGAACTTCATTACTTGAGAACTGATCATTGGTGCTCAGGGAACTGCTAAGTAACAGTGAGATCCTTTTCCTTCTTCAGTCTTGGTATGGAGGTACTGGTCAAACACAGAACAGGGTTCCGGTGATGACACATGAAAAGGTATGACTCCTTTCTTATGCTTGCAGGTGAGATTCACAACAGAGGCATATATATATATATATATATGCATGCAGAATGTGCTCACTGTTGTCTACCATAATGTTAGAGGAGGACTCTATAATACACCAATTATAGTGGGCTTATTAATGGTGCCTAAAGAAATCATTCCTGTATTAGTCCATTCTCACACTTCTATAAAGATACTACCCGAGATGGGATAATTTATAAAGAAAAGAGGTTTAATTGACTTACAGTTCCATACAGCTGGGAAGGCCTCAGGAAACTTACAATCATGGTGGAAGGAGAAGTAGACACTTTGTTCTCAAGGCAGCAGGAAAGAGTGTGCGTGTGTGAGCGCAGGAAAAACTACCATTTATAAAACCATCAGATCTCATGAGAATTCACTCACTATTACGAGAACAGCAATAGTGAGTAGGGGACATGGGGGAAACCACCCCCATAATCCAATCACTTCCCTTCCCTGACACTCGGGGATTATAGGTACCTCCCTCTACATGTAGGGATTACAATTTGAGTTGAGATTTGGGTGTGGACACTGCCAAACCATATTATTCTGCCCCTGGCCCCTCCAAATCTTGTGTCCCTTATACATTTCAAAACCAATCACGCCTTCTCAACAGTCCCCCAGTGTCTTAGCTTGTGGGAGTTCAGTCAGGCTGGTGGGAAAAATTTTAAAGATAGTTGTAAGAAAAAGACACAAACCTTCTTGGAAGGCAATGGGGGTTGGCATAAGCTCTAGTAATAGATCAGGCTGAAGGCAGTGTGATCCTTACCTTGAGTTAATTACTTAGGGTGTAGAGTAGTTTATCTGAATAGCTTGTTTACTCCGGTGGTCCTAAAACCATCCTTTGATAACTGTGGGTGCATAATTGCTCTCTACTTGGAAGGTGAGCAATGTCAATTACCCTCTAGTGGTGTTTACTCAAGACCTTTGTCATTTATGCTGAATAAAAGCAAGCTTCTTTGCTGGCTGATCAGGCCATGGCTCAACTCTTTACAGCACTCTCCTTGGTGTCTGTAGGTGGCCCGGACCCTTAGCTGGACTGACAGGCAAAATATCTGTGTCTGTGTAGGTTATTCATCTGTCATTGGATCTGGGTCTGGGGACAGACCCCCACAGCTGGCGTCCCATGTGAGGAATGCTGCAAAGGATCACGACGGGTGCCCCAAAAATGAAGGTGAAAAGGACCACGCAGTCAGTGAGTCAGTAAGTCAGTGGTGCCTGCTTGGCATTTCCAAGTTCGGGGAGGGGGGATTTGTTCAGGCTGAGGTTTCTTCACGGGACAACAATTATCAGCTCAACAGAAACAGTATATAAAAGTGTTGAAATCGCTGCTTAAGGCTAGTGGAGCCAGGGTTTCGCAGGCTCAATTAAGGGACCTAATGAAAACTGTTGTAACCCATAATCCATGGTTCCCAAAAGAAGGAATGCTAGATGTAGAGCTCTGGGAACAAGTGGGAAGAAATCTTAAACAACATCAGGCATAAGGTCTATGGGTCCCAGTATCATCTTTAACATATGGGCCTTAGTAAGGGCAGCTTTGGTCCCATTATACACAGAAGAGCCTAAAAAGGCGAAGGAGGAGGAACCGTCACATACTTTACCACCCCCGAGTTCCTCAGCCCCGCTACCACTGGGGAGAAATAACAAAGAGGAAACGGAGGTCTCGCCTGAGCCTCCTCCTCCAATAAATAGGAAAAAAGACAAGAGACACGCTCCAGCTGTGGGACCTTGTGTTAAGCAAGCAGCATTAGAAGGGGAGCTTTCAGCCTGCCTGGTAGTGCAAGACCGACAAGGCAATCAGGAACATGAATCCATTTCTTGTAACGCTTATAAAGAGCTAAGAAAAAGCATTAAAGAAAATGGAGCCACTAGCCCATTTACAAAAGGAATGACTGAGGACTTGGTAGACAACTTCCATATGACCCCATGGGACTGGTCAATGCTAGCTAAAACAACCGTGGAGCCTAGCCAATACCTCCTTCGGAAGGCAGAATACAATGAGTTGTGTGACCAACAAGCCAATGAGAATCAGGCAGGTGGGCAAGACATAACAGCTGCTACGCTCCAGGGGAGGGGTCCCCATGCCGATGTACAACAACAACTGACTTTGATCCCCAGGCCTATGCTCAAGTGTCTTTGTGCGCTCTCAGGGCTTGGGACCGAATTCCCAAAAGCAGAGTTCAACAGGGATCTTTTATAAAATTCAACAAGGGCCTCAGGAGCCATGTGTTGAGTTTATCAATCAGTTAACCCAGGCAATTAAGAGACAAATTAGTCATGCCCAGACCACCGGTATCTTATTGGTGCAATTGGCTTTTGAAAATGCTAATATGGATTGCCAGCAAGCAATGCAGGCAATCAGAGGAAAGGCAGCCACAGTTGGGGAACTTATATGAGCATGTCAGCTGGTGGGAACTGAGACACACAAAGCCAAAATATTGGCTATGGCATTAAGGCCTCCTAAAGTAAAAAGGGAGAGAAGCCAAAGTTGTTTTCTATGCGGAGAGCCAGGTCATATGAAGAAGGAATGCCCCCATAGTAGAGACCAAAGTAACTCAGGGAAAGAACCCCCTTCTATATGCCCCCAGCGTAAAAAGGGGAAACATTAGGCAAATCAATGCAGGACAAAATTTGATAAAAACGGAAACCCTGTAAGTAACCGCATGGGAAACTTCTTGAGGCCCCGCTACAAACAGGCAATGCCAGCAGCTTTCCTCTGTCAGATGGAAAGCCCACAGTCCGCTCTCTCAGAGCAGGCACCACTGGGAATGCAGGACTGGACTTACTCTGCCCCAGTGAATTAGTGCTTAAAGAAGGAGAAGACCCTAAAAGGGCTGCAACTGGGATCTGGGGCCTGCTGCTTCTGGGAACAGTGGGATTAGTCCAAGGATGGTCTAGCCTATCCGGTAAAGGAATTAATGTGCTCATCGGGGTAACTGATAATGATTACCAAGGTGAGATATTGGTGATGATGGAATGTAAAGGTCTGCATATTCTTCCTCCTGGATCAAAGAGCTCAGGTACTGATTTTACCATACTAGGTCCCCAAAGCCCACAGAAAGGAAAGGGGAAAGGGAAGTTTTGGAAGCACAGGAGCCACAGGAGCATATTGGAATCAAATAATCACTGACCAGAGACCCATGATTACCTTAAAAATTGGAAATAAGAATTTTACTGGCTTATTGGACACAAGGGCAGACATTTCAATTATTAGTGATCAAAACTGGCCAGAAACTTGGCCCTGGGTCAATCAGAAACAAAAAATTGTTGGCATTGGGGAAGTACACATGGCCAAGCAGAGCACGTGCCCCCTAATATGTTGCAATTCAGAAGGAAGAAAGGCAGTTATACAACCTCTAATCATGCCCATCCCTGTTAATCTTTGGGGAGGGGACCTATTAGCTCAATTGGGCGTCATTCTGCAGACCCCTTTCTAACAAAGGCCACTGTTATTATTCCTCCCCTACCCTGATGTGGCTCTTTCAAGATCCTATTTGGCTACAACAGTGGCCTCAGAAGGGAGAGAAATTACAGAGGGCCCATGAATTAGTTGAAGAGGAATTAAAAGCTGGGCATGTGGAACCATTTAATAGTCCTTGGAATTCACCCATTTTCCTCATTCCCAAAAAGTCTGGGAAATGGAGATTTTTGCATGACTTATGTGCTATTAATGTCAATTTGCAACCCATGGGACCCTTTCAGCTGGGGCTCCTTTCCCCCATGGTGATTCCTCAAGATTGGCCTATAAACGTTACTGACTTAAAGGAATATATATATATATATATATATATATATATATAAAATACTTTAAGTTCTAGGGTACATGTGTACAACATGCAGGTTTGATACATAGTATACATGTGCCATGTTGGTTTGCTGCACCCATCAACTCATCATTTACATTAGGTATTTCTTCTAATGCTATCCCTCCTCCAGTCTCCCATCCCCCCAAGAGGCCCTGGTGTGTGATGCTCCTTGCTCTGTGTCCAAGTGATCTCATTGTTCAATTCCCACCTATGAGTGAGAACATACAGTGTTTTGTTTTCTGTCCTTAAAGGACTGTTTTTATATGATTTCCCTAGCAGAACAAGACAGAGAAAAAATTGCATTTACAATACCAGCTATCAATAATGAAATGCCAGCTTGTCAATTTCATTGGGAAAGTGCTTCCTCAAGGAATGCTAAATAGTCCTACCATGTGTCAGTATCATGTAAATCAAGCTTTGCTACCCAGTAGAAAAAAATTTCCTGATTGCAAGGTTATTCATTTTATGGATGATATTCTACTGGCAGCCCCAATGGATCCAATGCTTTTAAATTTATTTACCTCTGTCATAAAGAATACACAGCTAAAAGGTTTAATCATTGCACCTGAGAAAGTATAGATGTTTTCTCCTTGGAAATATTGTGGGTACATACTAACTTCCCAGTCAGTAAGACCTGAAAAAGTTAAATTAAATATTAGCAACTTACACACCTTAAATGATGATCAGAAATTACTAGATGATATCAACTAGCTCCGCCCCACTCTGGGTATATCTGTGGATAAGCCGCAACACCTGTTTTCTATCTTAAAGGGCAATACAGTCCTAGATTTTCCCAGATATTTAACCCCTGCAGCAAAAAAGGAAATAGAACAAACCATCTCTCAGAGGCAGCTAGATCGCATAGATCTAGTCTACTCTATTCAACTGTTTATGTTTCCCATCAAACACTCCCCTAAAGGGTTAACTGCAGACCCCAGGATTGTGCTTTCTAGAATGTTTTTTTTTTGCTCACATACCAGGACTAAAACACTATTTCCCTATATCCAGTTACTTAGTAAAGTCATCTATTCTGGCTGCAAATAATGCAGTCAGTTGCTAGGTTATGATCCTAATATCATCAGGATTCCTTTAAGTAAAAAGCAGTTAGAAGCAGTATTGCCCTTATCGATGCAAATAGCACTCTCCAATTACACAGGACAAATAGAGCATGTCCTTCCTGCTGATAAACTCTTTCATTTCTTATCTCATACTCCTGTGATCTTGCCTACACAAATAGTTCACTCCCCCATACCTAATGCTTTAACACTGTTTACTGACGGATCTGGTAAGTATGGAAAGGCAGCAGTCTGGTGGAGATGACATAATTCATTCACTTGATCTGGATTTACTAGCACTCAAAGAGCTGAGATTGGAGCCCTGGTATTGGCCTTGGAAACTTTTCCCACTCAGTCCATCAATATTGTTAGCAATTCTGCCTATTATGTTTATTTATTGCAGAACCTTGAAACAGCCCTAATTAATTTCACTCTGGAGCCCACCCTATGTGCTCTTTTTCTTTGACTTCAGCAATTGCTAGATTAATGTATACATCCTATTTTTATCACACACATATTTGAGCCCACAGTTCACTGCCTGGCCTATTGGCTTATGGCAAGGATCAAGCAGACCTTCAGGTTATGATATCACTGCTTGACCAAGCCACCCAATCGCATCAATTTTTCCACTAAAAGTGGAGACTCTTATCTAAACAATTTCAACTTACCCAGAGACTAGCTAAACAAATTATCCTGCAATGCCCAGATTGCCAGCTCACAGGCACATCCCCACCTTCAACAGGTATTAATCTTAGAGGACTAGACCCCAATCAGTTATGGTAAACAGATGTTACACACATCCTTGAATTTGGAAAACTTAGATACATACGTGTATCCATTGATCCCAATTCTCACTTAATTAGTGCCCATGCTTTGCCTGAAGAGTCCACCCAATATGTCATTAAATATCTTCTTTTAACTTTTGCATTTATGGGAGAGCCCACAAAAATTAAAACTGATAATGGTCCAGTTTATGCCAGCTCACAATTTCAACAATGTTGTCACATGTGGAATATCCAATATTCCACAGGCATCCCATATAACCCCCAAGGACAGGACATAGTAGACCGTGCCCACTCCACCCTTAAAAATATGCTCAAAAAACAGAAAAGGGGGAGTATGGGTAAAGACCCTCCAACACTACTAGCACAAGCCTTATTTACCCTTAATTTTTAAAATTTAGATGACAAATTTCAATCAGCCATAGAAAAGCACTTTGCCAAAACCTCTCAAGACATAAAACCTGCAGTTTTATGGAAAGATATAAACAGTAACATATGGTGTGGTCCAAATGAATTATTAACTTGGGGAAGAGGGTATGCTTCTGTCCGCACCCCCTCAGGTCCTCTTCGGATTCCAGCCCTATGCATCAAACCATACCATGGCATGGCCAGGACCCAACCTGGTACCAGAAATGAAGGACCTGACCTTACAGGACCCACAGCCCCAGACGATGTGGCTTCCGTGGAAGACACAAGCCCCGGACATCACCTGGGGTATGCTGAAGGGGACAACTCAGGAACAAATTCTGCTCCAGACACAGACACCATTCACTTCAGATAATTTGTTTCTTGCTATGTTCTCTGTTGTACATTGCAATTCACATAGAGTATTGATCCTTTTTAGGCCCCCACTTTGTCTGTAACCTGCACCTGCTACACTCTATTGGGCTCATATCTTAGATCCGCCTTTCTTAGTCCTGTCACCTAGGCTTTAATAACTCGACTGCTTGGCTAGGAGGGATAGATTTACCCCTCTGTGGGATCCCTCACTAATGGCACACATTGGACCAAGATGCCAGATAACACTATGTATCACTCTGATATCCTCCCACTATGTGTAAGTTATAAAGGTTCTAACCCTTCCTGTGTACCTGCAACACAATTATGGCTACATCATGGCAAAAGAAATGCCTTAACAGTCTCAGCTGCAGGTAGCCTTAAACCGGGTAATGTAATCAGTGTTGCTTTCCCAAACATTCCTTCCTGTGCTCAAGAACAAAGCCAGGAAAGTAATGGATTCCACTTTAGCTGGGAGGTCTGTCACGGGGGACAAGCCCGTAGCCTCCAGTTAGGCAATGGTAACATCTTAGACTGGAGCCCTCATAGCCATTTGCAGGGCAGCCTTACTGATGTCCACATCCATCATGGCATCAGTCACAGTTTCATAGCCTTGTCCCATTCCCCTATGATTTGGGCCAATGGGGGGATGGGATATTCCAGACCCCAAGTAAAGTCCATGCCACCCCAAGACACTTTATCATGCCTGGGACATCTTAGTACCTCCTCTGACACTTGGCATGGGACATATCATAATTCCAGTAACAACTATACTAATACCTTTATTCACAATCACACTGATCAGTGCCTTATTTGCATTACCCATCCATATGTTTTCCTTATGGGAACTAATATTTCCACTACACCCCAAAACTCCGCGTTTGTGACCCAGGTGCAGGGACAGGCTTGGTTTGCCTCATGTATCACTAATTACAATATATCTAATTCAAATATTACTAGTGTCATGGTATTAAGGAGACAATCTGAAGCATTCCTATCAGTCAATTTGACATGTGATTGGCAAGGTTCCTCTGCCCTTGCCACCTTAGAACGTACCCTATCCCAGGTCAGACCCAAAAGATTCATAGGCACACTTATAGCCTTTATAGTCTTGGCCATAGTCATCCTAGCAACTGCTAGTGTGGCTGTAGCATCTATTACTGAATCAGTAAAAATGTTTCTGTAGATAGTTTGGCCAAAAATGTGTCTAATGAACTTCTCTTACAGCAGGGTACAGATCAAAAGATTCTTGGCCGGACGTGGTGGCTCACGCTTGTAATCCCAGCACTTTGGGAGGTCAAGGTGGGCAGATCACAAGGTCAGGAGATCGAGACCATCCTGGCTAACACAGTGAAACCCCGTCTCTATTAAAAAAAAAAAATACAAAAAAATGAGTTGGGCGTGGTGGCAGGCACCTGTAGTCCCAGCTACTCTGGAGGCTGAGGCAGGAGAATGGTGTGAACCCGGGAGCGTGAGCCGAGATTGTGCCACTGCACTCCAGCCTTGGTGATGAGTGAGACTCCGTCTCGAAAAAAAAAAGATTTTTGCACGTCTGCAAGCCCTCGAGGCTGTCTTGGAATATGTGGGGGAGTGACAAGATGCACTGGCATTCTGTCAACAATTAAACTGCGACTGGGAGCATAAACATATCTGTGTCACTTCTCTACCATGGAATCAATCAATACATAGTTGGGATGAGGTGAAACAATACCTCTGGGGAACCTTTCATGACAATTTAACAGCAGATGTAAAGCAACTTAAAACTAAAATTTTAGAATTCCTTCACACAATACATCTACACACCCAACAAACAGCCATATGGAAGGGTATGCAAGATCATCTCTCCTGGTTAGATCCCTGCTCCTAGGGGTTACTCTTTGACTGGAAAAGAATGTTGCTAATTATACTCATGATTGTCTTATGTTATTTATTTGCTAATACTAGGATGCAAAGCTAGAATAAGAGCAATGACCACCTCGCTAGACAGACTTGTTGCTGCACACATCTGTACTCTTCAGTCAACAGAACCCGATGCAAAGAACAGAAAAGGGAGAGATGTGGGATTTCAGACAGACTGGTGGTGTGTCTGGAATTTATTCCTTCTGGCGGTTTCTTGGTCTTGCTGACTTCAAGAATGAAGCTGCAGACCTTGGTGGTGAGTGTTACAGCTCTTAAAGGTGGTGTAGACCCAAAGAGTGAGCAGCAGCAAGATTTATCGTGAAGAGCAAAAGAACAAAGCTTCTATGGTGTGGACGGGGACCCAAGTGGGCTGCCACTGCTGGCTGGGGTGGCCGGTTTTTATTCCCTTATTTGTCCCCGCCCACATCCTGCTTATTGGTGCATTTTACAGAGTGCTGATTGGTGTGTTTACAATCCTTTAGCTAGACACAGAGCGCTGATTGGTGCATTTTTACAGAGTGCTGATTGGTGCGTTTACAATCCATTAGCTAGACACTGAGTGCTGATTGGTGCGTTTTTACAGAATGCTGATTGGATAGGCAGAAAAGTTCTCCAAGTCCCCACCCGACCCAGGAAGTCCAGCTGGCTTCACCTCTCAGTGGGAAAAATTTTAAAGATAGTTATACGAAAAAGACGCAAACCTTCTTGGAAGGCTGGTTGGGGGCTGGTTTGCATAAACTCCAGTAATAGATGAAGCTGAAGGCAGCCTAATCCTTACCTTGAGTTAATAGTTTAGGGCACAGATACAAAGGAATGTAGAGTAGTTTATCTAAATAGCTTGTTTACTCATGTGGTCCTAAAACCAACCTTTGATCAACCATGGGTGCATAATTGCTCTCTACTCAGGAGGTGGGCAGTGTCAATTACTCTCTAGTGGTATGTACTCAAGACCTTTGTCATTTAATCTATACTGAATAAATGTGGAGCTTTGCTGGCTGATTGGGGCCACAGCTGCAACTCTACAGCACCCTCCTTGGTGTCTGTAGGTGGCCTGGACCCTCAGCTGGACTGACAGGCAAAATATCTGTGTCACTGTATGTTATTCATCCATTGTTGGGTCAGGGTCTCTGAGACAGACCCCCACATTAACTCATTCAGTATTAACTCAAAGGTCCAAGTCCAAAGTCTCATCTGAGACAAGGCAAATCCCTTTCACCTATGAGTCTGTAAAATCAAATATGAGTTAGTGCCTTCCAAGATACAGTGGAGGTACAGGCATTGGAAAATGCTCCCATTCCAAATGGGAGAAATTAGCCAAAAACAAAGGAGCTACAGGCCCCACGCAAGTCTGAAATCCAGCGGGGGACAGTCATTACATCTTAAAGCTCCTAAAAAAATCTCTTTTGACTCCATGTCTCACATCCAGGGTATGCTGATACAAGTGGTAGGCTCCCACAGTCTTGGGCAGCTCTGCCCCTGTGGAATAATCAGGCCCCCTCCCAGATACTTTGATGGGCTGGCATTGAGTGTCTGTGGCTTATCCAGGCACACAGTGCAAACTGTCAGTGGATCTACCATTCTGGGGCCTGAGGGACTGTGGCCTTCTTCTCACAGCTCCACTAAGCAGTGCCCCAGTGGGGACTCTGTGTGGGTGCTCCAACCCCACATTTCCCTTTCCACACTGCCCTAGCAGAGGTTCACCATGAGGGCTCAAACCCTGCAGCAAACTTCTGCCTGGACTTCTGTAGCAGGTGTTTCCATACATCCTCTGAAATCTAGGCAGAAGTTCCAAAACTTCAATTCTTGACTTCTGTGCACCTGCAGGCCCAACACCATGTGGAAGCTGCCAAGGCTGGGGATGGCACTCTCTGAAGCAACAGCCTGAGCTGTACATTGTCCCTTTTTAGCCATGGCTGGATGCAGGGCACCAAGTCCCAAGACTGTACAAAGTAGCAAGGTCCTGGGCCCAGCCCATGAAACCATTTTTCCCACTAGGACTCCAGGCCTGTGATGGGAGGGGCTGCTGTGAATGTCTCTGACATGCCCTGGAGACATTTTCCCCATTATCTTGGCAATTAACATTTGGCTCCTAGTTACTTATGCAAATTACTACAGCAGGCTTTAATTTCTCCCCAGAAAATGGGTTTTTCTTTTCTATCTCATTGTCAGGCTGCAAATTTTCCAAACTGTTATGCTCTGCTTCCCTTTTAAACATAAGTTCCAATTTCAGATAATCTCTCTCAAGTTCAAAGTTCCACAGATCTCTAGGGCAGGGGCGAAATGCTGCCAATCTCTTTGCTAAAGCATGGCAAGAGTGACCTTTGCTCCGGTTCCCAATAAGTTCCTCATCTCCATCTGAGACCACCTCAGCCTGGACTTCATTGTCCATATTACTATCAGCATTTTTGTCAAAACTATTCAACAAGTCTCTAGGAAGTTCCAAACTTTCCCACATCTTCCTATCTTCCTCGGAGCCCTCCAAACTGTTCCAACCTCTGCCTGCTACCCAATTCCAAAACCGCTTCCACATTTTCAAGTACCTTTATAGCAGTCCCCCATTCCTAGTACTAACTTACTGTATTAGTCCGCTCTTACACTTCTATAAAGATACTACCCAAGACTGGGTAATTTATAAAGAAAATATTTGATTCACAGTTCCGCATGGCTGGGGAGGCCTCAAGAAACTTACAATCATGGCAGAAGGAGAAGCAAACACCTTCTTCGCAAGGTGGCAGGACAAAGTGTGCGTGAGCACAAAAAAACCTGCCATTTATAAAACCATCAGATCTTGTGAGAATTCACACACCACCATGAGAACAACATGGGGGATACTGCTTCTATAATCCAATCACTTCCCTTTCCCTTCCTTGAAACATGGAAATTACAGGTCCTCCCCTTGACATGTGTGGATTACAATTTGAGATGAAATTTGGGTGGGGACACAGAGCCATACCATATCAATTCTCTAATCCTTGGAATTTGTAAATGTTACCTTATTTGAAAAAAGGATCTTTGTAGGTATGATTAAGTTAAGGATCTTGAGATTTAGGGCATTGTCTTGGATTATCTGTCTGGACCCTAAATAGCATCATTAATGTCCTTGTAAGAGGGAGATCTGACACACAGAGAAGAGTAGAAGGCCATGTGACCAGAGATGCAGAGATTGGAGTAATGCAGCCATAAACCGAAGCTGGAAGCCATCAGAACTCGGAAGAGGCAAGAGATCGATTCTTCTATGGAGGTGATACCTTCATTTCTGTTTGGTGAAACTGATTTTGGACTTCTGGCCTCCAGAACTGTGACAGAATACATTTCTGTTGTTTTAACTCATCTAGTTTGTAATTTGCTTCAGAGGCCACAGGATGACTAACACAGTATACTGCTTATGACTGTGGATTCTCTTCTCACATCACCCTACCTGAAAAGGGAAAGAAGGATGTGAAGAAAATAATATAGGAGGAGGAAGAATGAAGAAACAGAGGGCAAGAAAAAGAAGAGACTAGGAAGAGTAGATGAAGCAAGATAAAGTGGAGGAGAAATCTCTTTACTGAATGGTAGGTCATATACAAATTATACTGGGGAAAAGTGAAATTTGGCCCGTAAATTCCACATCTACCTACATGGTGAACATTGAGGGTATGCCTAGGTCCTAAGAGGAATTTGTCTTTAAAAATCTTCATGAATCATTTAACAGTTTTAATGGTAACTGTGATGAGAAAAATTTCAGTAAGCTACATTAAAACTGTTAAATGATTTATTTAACTAAGGGGTCAAAACAGTGACCCCTTAGTCATCAAGCACTTAGGGTTGATTTGGCAATGCTACACATCCTTCAAGATTCTGTTCATAATCTACTTCCTCTATAAAATCTTCTTTGACCTCTACTTTTTCCATTTTCTGAATTTGCATTCCATGCACAGGAACTATGTCTGTTATTTCTGCTCTTCCAATAATAATAACAAAAAGCCCACAGATGCTGCTAAATATCTTAAAATATACAAGCAAATACTTATGATAGTTTTATATCTCCTCCAGCAGTCTGCATAGGGCAGGACTATAATAGAGTCCTTGTGGTGACTGACGGACTAACCACTATTCTGAGGCCAATAATACAGATGGTCTCATCTGTTTCATCTTGTATCTTCTACCTACATATCATACTGTACAATGATGATTGGTATTGAGAATTATATCCCTCAGGCATGCCAGGTCTAAATCATAAAAAAATAGATTGATAAAATTCATTGTCTTGCTAGTTGAGAAAAACTACATATATATTTTAGGAAGATTTCCAACTGGAAGAATTGAAGCCAGGATGCATTTCTCATCATCCTAATTTAATGCAATTAACTGCAACCCTCAAGTCCCAAGTATTCAAAGCATCAGAAGAATTGCTTTATTAACCAAAGATTCAAAGGGTTAGCCTATAAATATACCTGAAGGTACCTACTTTCTGGTATTGATTTCCCACTGTGTGGCAAGTCTTAGCGTAAACGTGGTATAAAACAAGCTTATTTTTTAGTTGATTATACGTTACCGGCTTCAAATTGCTCAGAGGAAAGTCAGGATTCGTGGGCTTGTTTATATTTTTTACATTGCTCATTTACATCCAGTGTAACTGAAATTGAAGTTCAGTTCTGTAAACTATCCCACAGTATGTACTCAGATAACTGCCCACATGCAAAACATTAGGTACACACAGGGCTAAATAATTTAGTCAAGAGGCTGGGCACGGTGGCTCATGCCTGAATCCCAGCAAGTGGATTACTTGAGTCAGGAGTTCAAGACCGGCCTGGCTAACATGGTGAAAAGCCATCTCTACTAAAAATACAAAAATTAGGCAGGTGTGGTGGCACGTGCCTGTAATTCCAGCTACTCGGGAGGCTGAGATGGGAGAATCGCTTGAACTCAGGAGGTGGAGGTTGCCGTGAGCCCAGATGGTGCCACTGCACTCCAGCCTGGGTGACAGAGTGAGTCTCTGTCTCAAAAAAAAAAAAAAAAAAAAAAAAATTTAGTCAAGGACACACAACAGTTTGTAATCCTTCATGATTTTACATTTAATGTTTATTATTATTATTATTATTTTTAAGCATAAGAAAACCAAAGGCACATTGTTGGCATTCCTATCACATCAAAACAATGAATATAAATCACATCATACAAGTAAGAATCAGAAATATAGAGAATGGGAATAAATTATACAAGGAACTCATTAACATACCTCCAAACAGAAAACTAGGACCTAAAATAATGTAAACCTTAGTGAAACAACAGCTGCTCTTATGAAAATCCATATATTCTAATAGTACAGTATTATAGCCTTTCCCACCTTGGAAAAATTACATTATAGTTATGTGGCCCATATTAAGGTTTCTTTGGGCTTTTATTAATAAAAAAGTATTTCAAAAGGATAAGCTTTTGAAACTGGACATTTAGCTATCCACTAAGTCAAGTTGATTGAGAAAAACTTCCATTTTTTTTCCTCTGGCTCTTTTAGAATGTTCCAAAAGAATGATTCAGAGAAACTATAAATAAAAGAAATATGATCAAATTTGTAAAATGTAAAGCACCTCCCCATGTTATCTATATATCTAAACCATGATGCAGTAATGTCAGTCACTTGTCCCATGCATTTCTATTTTGATGACCTGAATTAGGCCTGAATAATGAGTATAACTAAAAGGCCCACACACTATGGAAAGCTTAGCAAGTTCTAAGGAGGGAGGGAAAGGTCCTTGCTTTGGCTGATTTTACCAGGTTCCTCTTTTCTACTTTCCAAAAAGAATCCAATAGGTCATAGTCTGTTTTTCTGTCTGTTAATGATAGTGTGCTTAAAGTTCTACTAGTAGTTTCTGGAACTCTTTAACCTCACAGTCATCCTGAGAGAACTCTGCCCCTGAAGGGGAAAATAATTTTTCTTCACCCAGGGCCTTTTTCCTTGTATTAATATTAATATCCCATGAGAATATTAGCTCTGGAGGAAAGAATTTGGTAGCAAAATTCCATATTTACTCATGAAATCCACCCCCAACTTCCACTCACACATTTTAATAGAACACTCAAAAAAAAAAGCTCCCCATTCCTCCCTCTCTTCCTGGACACTTCCCTTCAGCTTCATCTGACACCCACGGTTTTCCCCCTTTTTCTCTGCTTGAATCAAAAAACAATTTTTACTAGCAGAGCCTTCTTTCAGTAGAGTGTACCCTGTATTTGATAGGGCAGAAAAGTATTTAAATTTTTTTAAAAAAATTGCTTGGCATTGGCTGGAGTGTAGAAACAGAAAATGGAGTCAGTTACTGCTTAAGCCCCCAGCATCTAACCCCACCTGGCTGCTCTTTGTTCCCTCTCTTGGGTCACAGAGAAGATAGGCATAGCAAAACCTGACGCACCATCAAGGCTCCATGAGATTTAAGCAGTGTAGTGTGGTTGACAGCTGCCTTCCATCCTTCGTTTCCTGGAAATACTATTTAACACACCCTCTATGAGAGAGAGAAAAAGACTCATTGGTGCCATTGATTCTTTAAAATAATTTTTTAAAATGACACTTTGCATATGTAGCTGAGTGACAAAACATATGGATTCTAAAGCAACACATACTGTCTGCATTCCAATTTGGGCTCCATGCTTACCAAAATGTGATCTTGGGTAAGTTACTCAATTTCACTGTCCCTCAATTTCCTCATATAAGATACATTCTTGAATGAAAATGATAATAATATTAACCACATAGGGTTGTTGTGAGGATTGAGTTAAAATATTTAAAGCTCTTCTGAATACTGTTTGCATATAGAACATGATACTTGTTAGGTATAGAGTAAACAATATCCCATTTTTTGATACACAGGTAGATTTGAAGACATGCTTATAACAACATATCTATTTCTATGTATCTGAACTGGCATTCAGTAAATATTTGATGAATTAATGCAATCTAACAGAATAAATATGCTAATGCCAGAGTCCAGTGAGCTTTGTCACTCATTGTTCTACAGCTTCTGTGATTTGTTGCTGATTAATAAATAGAGACAGAACCTCAGAGTTTATGGATGAAGTGCATAAGGCCTAGATGGTAAGAAACATTTATGATGAGCCTCTGTGTGCCAGGTTCTAAGGCTGACACTTTTCATGAGCCATTACATATAAGTCTCCTAACAGCTCTTTTAAGGCAGATACAATTAGTTCCTTTATAGAAATAAGAAAAATGAAGCTCAGAAATGTTAAGAAAATTACCCCAAATCACACAGTTAGTAAGTTGTGCAAGAGGAAGGATTCTAATCCTACACTATTTTTAAGCAAAGTATAACATGTAAAAAGGAGGTGGAGGGTAGATTATGCTAGTAAAATGATTTTACAGACAGGTCATTATTGAATAAAACATTGAAATACAAGGTATATTTTCATACTGCTGATAAAAACACACCTGTAACTGGGAACAAAAAGAGGTTTAATTGGACTCACAGTTCCACATGGCTGGGGAGGCCTCAGAATCATGGCGGGAGGTGAAAGGCACTTTTTACATGGCAGCGGCAAGAGAAAAATGAGGAAGAAGCAAAAGCAGAAGCCCCTGATAAACTCATTCAGATCTCATGAGACTTATTCACCATCACGAGAATATCACAGGAAAGACTGGCCCCCATGATTCAATTACCTCCCCCTGGGTCCCTCCCACAACACGTGGAAATTCTGGGAGGTACAATACAAGTTGAGATTTTGATGCGGACACAGTCAAACCACATCATTCTGCCCCTGGCCCCTCCAAACCTAATGTCCTCACATTTCAAAACCAATCATGTCTTCCCAACAGTCCCCAAAAGTCTTAACTCAGTTCAGCCTTAACCCAAAAGTCCACAGTCCCAAGTCTCATGACACATGGCAAGTCCCTTACAACTATGAGCCTGTAAAATTAAAAACAAGCTAGTAACATCCTAGATACAATGAGGGTTCAGGTATTGGGTAAATACAGCCATTCCAAATGGGAGAAACTGGCCAAAACAAAGGGGTTACAGGGTCCATGCAAGTCATAAATCCAGTGTGGCAGTCAAATGTTAAAGCTTCAAAATGATCTCCTTTGACTCCAGGACTCATATCCAGGTCATGCCAACGTAAGAGGTGGGTTGCCATGGTCTTGGGCAGCTCTGTTCTTGTGGCTTCGCAGGGTACAGCCTCCCTCCCAGCTGCTTTCATGGACTGGTGTTGAGTGTCTGTGGCTTTTCCAGGCACACAGTGCAAGCTGTTGGTGAATCTATTATTCTGGGTTCTGGAGGATGGTGGTCCTCTTCTCACAGCTCCACTGGACAGTGCCCCAGTAAGGACTCTATGTGGGGGTTCTGACCCCACAGTTCCCTTCTGCACTGCCCTAGCAGAGGTTCTCCATGAGGGCTCTGCCCCCGCAGCAAACTTTTACCTGGGCACCCAGGCATTTCCATCCATCTTCTGAAATCTAGGCAGAGGTTCTCAAACCTCAGTTCCTGACTTCTATGCACCCAGAGGCTCAACACCACGTGGAAGCAGCCAAGGCTTGGGGCTTCCACTCTCTGAAGCCACAGCCCGACCTGTACACTGGTCCCTTTCAGCCATGGCTGGAGTGGCTGAGCCCCAGGGCATCAAGTCCCTAGGCTACACACAACAAGGGGACCCTGGGCCTGGCCCGGGAAACCATATTTTCCTCCTGGGCCTCCAGGCCTGTGATGGGAGGGGCTGCCGAGAAGATCTCTGACATGGCCAGGAGACATTTTCCCCAGAAAATAGGTTTTTCTTTTTTATTGCGTAGTAAGGCTGCAAATTTTCCAAACTTTATGCTCTGCTTCCCTTATAAAACTGCATGACTTTAACAGCACCCAAGTCACCTCTTTAATGCTTTGCTGCTTAGTAATTTCTTCTGCCAGATACCCTAAATCAGCTTTCTCAAGTTCAAATTTCCACAAATCTTTAGGACAGGGGCAAAATGCCACCTGTCTCTTTGCTGAAACATAACAAGCGTCGCCTTTACTCTAGCTCCCAACAAGTTCCTCATCTCCACCTGAGACCACCTCAGCCTGGACCTTTATTGTTCAAATTGCTATCATCATTTTGGGCAAAGCCATTCAACACGTCTCTAGGAAGTTCCAAACTTTCCCACATTTTCCTGTTTCCTTCTGAGCCCTCCAAACTGTTCCAACCTCTGCCTGTTACCCAGTTCCAAAGTCACTTCCACATTTTCAGGTATGTTTTCAGCAACGCCTCACTCTACTGGTAACAATTTACTGTATTAGTCCATTTTCATGCTGCTGCTAAAGACATACCCAAGACTGAGAAGAAAAAGAGGTTTAATCGGACTTACAGTTCTACATGGCTGGGGAGGCCTCGGAATCATGGCAGGAGGCAAAAGGCACTTCTTACATGGCAGCGGCAAGAGAAAAATGAGAAAGAAGCAAAAGCAGAAACCCCTGATAAACCCATTAGATCTTGTAAGACTTATTCACTATCAGGAGAACAGCATGGGAAACACCGGCCCCCATGATTGAATTACCTCCCCCTGGGTCCCACCTACAACATGTGGGAGTTCTCAGAGATACAATTCAAGTTGAGATTTGGGTGGGGACACAGCCAGACCATATCACAAGGCTTATAATTCAAAGATGGTTTGGTCTCTCTTAGCATTAGCTTTGCGAGATTCAGACTCTATATTGTCCGCTTTAATCCTGTGCCGAATGTTATTTTATACTTCAACAGTATATTCATAAACTATAGAAATGGAAAGTGACTCAGTTATTCAACTTCCTCAGTTAACAGCAAAGAGCCATGAGAGGTAAAATGGCAGGCTCAGTGTCACATCACAATTAGTGACAGACACAGACAGGATTTCTCTGGACCTAACACTAATCTCCTTACAGTAGTCAGGATAGCCAACCAGAGACTGCAGTTTTAAATCCATCCATTTAGATGTATGTAGATGCTAGTTCACCTTAAATAGCCGAATTCCTACTTTAGTATCTAAATCTAAAAAGGGTATTAGAGTAATTCTTAATATTATCTGGGATGACAAAATAAACACGAATATTCTCTAGTAATAAAAGTAGGTAGACTTAATACTTAGGAGCTTTTATTTTTAAAACCTGACCAAAATTCTGGTATAGCTGTTATCTTGTCAAGGGACAAAGAGAGTTAAATGTAGTTTGGGTGATAGAATACTTTTTTAAAGAAAAAGTGCCGCTCCTTTTTTTTTACGAAGAGAGGAGTTAAAAGCATCCTGTTTTTTCCAGATTGCATTCATTCACTAAATATTTATATTTACCCAAACAACTATAATAGCAGAAATGCTACATCCTTTGCACATTTTTCCGATATCTATTACAGAGCTGGGCTTTTAGTAGTCACCGATTGGTGGTGTCTTTTCCTATGTTTAGTATGTTGGATAACTTCAAAACAAAAGTCATTGATGTTATGTCAGCTACTACTGATGTACTGCTATAGAGACAAAGAAGCATATGGTTCTTGACTATTCCAATGCTTGTGTTGTCCAGAAACATGCAGTGTAGTATGCACTTTCTTAGTTATAATGTCATCAGTAACATGAAGTACAATGGCAGTTTCTTTCATTGTGCATGCACCAGAGGCTTAGAATGAATAGCACTCTTACCAGGCTGACAAGCATCAAGTTGCATTATGGTATCTATACTAAAAAACTGGCACTATCTAACTATAGCATAGGGCCTAGGAAGCTTTGTTAATATGAGTGACAAGACACATGAAAAGCACATTATCCACTGCTTCAACAACAGTGCATCACCCGACATATCAGCTGAAAAAGCCGAACCTTGGGAAGCTCAAACTTTATGACCTAAATTTCAAAATGTGCCAAACATCACTTTAGTAGAAAGGGTTGTGAATTGCAATGGCAATGTAGAGAGAGAGGAAATAGTAAAGGTAAAGAAACAAAGAGGGACAGAAGTACACAATTCTAAGTGATTTTCATAGCAGACACTTAGCCCAAGTAAGCAAATACATTGCTAAATGACAAGAAATTGGCATGTGAGGTAAGCAAGTTTCTCGAGCCAAATATCTTAAAATAAAAGATCACTGGTGGGATAAAGAGGCAACCAAACCACAACCAGCTTGTACATTAGCCAAATATTGGCAGGTCAAGAAGGCTCAGCAAAGATTAACCTGCCACATCCTATAGGGGGTGAAGCTCAACTTACTGAGGATGATATTGAAAAGTCAACGATCAGAGAACAATTGATGTTATTTATCATTATGAGTCTCTCCACTTTCCCTAAAAACCCACACTGCAAAGCCAACTTAGAATTTAAGGGAGCAACATTACAATCTCAGGATTTCGTTCCACATTAACCATCCAGTGGACAGTCCTGTGGAAGCATGTGATGATGACAGATATATATATATACACACACAGAAATCCACAAGTATAATGGCCGACACACACTCAGGCCTTCAGCTGTAGACTTGCACAAACACAAAAGAGAAATAATGCATGCAA